TTTATAAGAGGTCAATTCACTCTATATTTTAAACTAATGGAGCCAAATGTGATCTACTGAGCTTAAAATTTGCTTTGTTACTCACTTGTTATAAGGAGACAACAAATGTCATTGTAAAACCCACTTCATAAAGATATGATAGGTAGTGCGTAAATGTAAATTATATAGGTATTATAGGTACTTTTTATGGTTTAAATTGTACATAGAAATAAATTAGTGGATCATTTATTCGTTTGCAAACAATTTGTCAAAGGTAATTCAACAGTGCAATTAACAATTAGTAAGTTAACCAATTAAAAGTAAGCAAATTGTAAATATGTTTTATATAGACAATCTGTATGGTCAATTAATATAATAAGCACTAGCAAAATAGTCTTAAAAGGAAATTATATTAACAAAGTTGAATGTTCGATAAACGATCTTTATGATTTTAACTCTTTGAATAGAAATGTGAAAATCTTACTTGAGCCATCAAATTCAATATAAAATAATATTGTAATATAAAATACAAAATAATATTATGTACTATGTACAATACATTTTACATTCATTACTTAACAATGTTTAAATTATTTACTAAAGCACAGTACTTAGATATATGAGAATTATTAATTGCATAGTTTCTATTATTATACCTTGTACTCGTAATTTTTTTTAGTAGATATTATTTATCAGTAATTTTTAATATTTGCCAATAATTATTCAACATTTTAATAAATGTTCAGATTTTTAAGATTTTAACGAACAAACTATTTTAAAAGTAAATTATGTTTGTGCAAAAATTGTATATATATATATGTATAATTCAATAGAAATTACGTTTACTGCAAAAATATAATTTAATAATCTTACTAAAATCATAGTGAGTATAGGAAGTGTTTAAATATGTGTTATCAGTTAAAAAAATATGTGGTGATGTGCTTACATACTATATAGACTACCTATATATTATAATAGTAATTTTGCACCTAATGTAATAATAGGTATATCGTCACCTTGCATGCACAATAATAGCGAATAGCATTGAAAAATAACAGATGACTCATAAACGTCTGAGATATCACGAATAATAATAATCACACATTCCAAAATGTGATTCAGTGAGTACACGGAAAAAAACATGTTCATTCACTGTTCCAAATCTATACAATAATATAATATATATGTACAATATACACCGACATCCTAAGTCTAAATAACTAACTAGATACATTTTGATATAATGTATAGTTAATCATGTAGAATTAATAATTTTTTTGAAATAATAGTTGTTATTATATATTTTATAAATTATAAATAATTTATTCGAGTATACCCTGAACAGGACTATAATCATTCTAATACGCTTATAGCATAGAAAAAATAACAATTTTAAAGTTTTAATAATTTTACTATGCATTTATCAAATTAAACGAAAAACGGTTGTCATTGTGAATAGGTATGTATATTTGAATAAATATGCTGAACGAAAACTGTTGTAATATTGTTGCGCAACGACGACAAGTAAAAAACTCTTCCACACCCTGTTATGCCACTATATACTATGGGTATATTATTATATCGCCTCTGCGAGGACGAGTCGTCCTGCTCCTATCAAAGTCCACAAGTGCCAAGTATAACGTCAAAATGGCTTACCTATAAACGCACACATGCACAACGCACACGCGCTCACACACATAATATATTATGATATATTATGTACGTTATAACTTATAATGTATACAAGCACTGGGATAGCAAATTACACGGTTTACACACTCTGTGCGTATACGCATGGAGTGACTCACTATACATAGTATTGGTATATACATACATATATACATACATACAACACTTGAGAACCGTTTGCGCGGGAACGTCACTGGACCGTAGGAGAAAAAAATAGTATAATATTAATACGATGATGACTACGACGACCACGACGCGTACATATTACTATTATAGTATTATGTATATTGTATATATATAATATTATGTACTGCAGTTTGGCGCGTGCGGAGACTCGCCGGCTGCTGCCGTTGGGGCCACGCGTGTTGCCGTCGCGTCTGTTGCAGGCTTACGGTTACGCTAGGTGGAGATCAAAACGAACGCGCATATGTGCCATTATATATTATTATTATTATTGTTATCGTACGGAGTACGTATAAAAGTAATTTATTATGCAGTCGTTGTACGCTCTCCGGTCGATCGAGTTCGTGGTCTCTTGAAACTGGAGAGATCCGACAGATGTGCGGTCGCGTATACTTAACGTTTTCTACGTCTACCATTTACGGTGGCAATTAATTCGTACGTGGATATTTTTGGGTTTTAAATAATATAATATTATAGAGGTAATCGTCAGTAAATATAATGCATGCGTAAATTCGCTAACACCGCACAAGATGTTTTTTTGTATTAGTGTGGCGGGGGTGACCGTTCGAATATAAACACGCCTGTATTTATTTTAATTTTAAATATCTATGGGCTTAAAAAACGCACAATAGATTTTGATTTTGTTGAGTTAACAGACATAAAAACAACAAATATTTCATATACAATTACGTGTCAATGTCTGTTACTCTGTTCTTATCATTTGATAAATATATGTATATAAATATACATATTATAATATATGCCACTGAATATATTATCCGTCGTCTGTCAATGTTACAATTTGTATTAAATGTAATCTATTCTTTACTGAAATTATTTATTTAATATTTTTTGATATTATTTATTGGTAAACATGTATATAATTGTTCTATTGAAAATAGTTTGTTTCGTCTTTTAATTGGAAATTTTATTGTATTATTCTTAAACATTATAATGGGTATGCTCTTTTTTATACTTCCTTAAACATTTCATTAATTTTAATCTTTTTAATCACATAATTAATATACGTGTTCAATCAGAATTTAAAAAAGATCCTTTATTACATTTTACATGTAGGGTTTATATACAGCTAGGTGCAGATACGGCTTATATCTATAATCTATATAGGTATGCCATGGCGATTATGGCTATTTCTATATTTTATAAATGAGATAAAATACCTATTTCATGTCTGTATCTAATCTTAGTTTTAAAATTGTATTTAAATATTGTACATAGGCATGTTAATATACTTTTTGGGTGTTTTCATTAATATCAATTTTATATTTATTTTATTTATAGTTATATTAAGTTAATTTTTAGGATGTTCGTAAATGTATTTATTTTTTGTTTCTATATGTACTCATATTATAATAGATTATATTAGATATATATCCAGCGTTAAAATCACTGAGGTTGTTGGAAAAGTAGGCAATATTGAATTTCATGTGTTATAAATTGTATATTATATAATAATATATATCCCCCATCGTAAAATCGGAAGTGGGACACATTACTCTGCCAACTCTGTTGTCGTGTAGATGGTTTACCATCCTATATATAATATACGAGTGTGTAACGGTTTTTCGCCCCATCGTGATTTGAGGGTGCGTGAGTTTGTAGGCCCCCTTTCAATTATTTGCCATAGGTCACAATGATTCCCAAACATGCTTTTTACTATATAGTTAATATTTTGTACACACCTATTCGAACTACTGTTAATGTTCATAAGTAACTATCTTAAAATCAATGAAAACGGTTTATTCAATTATTCAAATTAATGTACAATATATTAAATAAAACCTATTTATAATTTATTATATTGGTTTTAAAATTGTAACTTTTTTCTGAATTTCTAAATATTATTATTCTATCAATAGTTATATGCCATTAGTTTGTTAATCAATAAGCAATTATTTCGATGACTATTAACTACTGTTACAAAATAAAATTATATAAAAATGTATTAAAACCTACATTTTATAAATACCTACTATAAAACAAATCTTCAACGGGCTTCATAATTATATATATAACAATAAAATAATTATATTGTAAATTGTGAAATAAATATACAATAATTAACTACTCGTATTTATAAACAGTAAACCTAACTATCATGCAAATATATAACTACTTGAATAATAGTACCTACGATCAATTTTTACTTGTATTACCCTTAATAACCCTTATATATACCTTGTAAAAATATTTTAATATGTTTTTTTGTTTCCGCCAGCATATTCTTTATAATAATATATAGGTGCAGTGCCTAAGGAAAAGAACACAATGATGTCACTCCATTCACACGTGTATGCGGGATAACGGACAAAACCGAATTGCAATAAAACAAAAATATTAATACTAATTTAGGTATCTACTTAACAAAAATAAATAAAATAATTCGATTATAGTGGGTATAATGTAACGTTCTAAAATAATGCAAATTTAGATTAATTCATTTATTAGATGTCCTTTCATGTTTCAATAATAATATTATATTATTTATATACCTATACTCAGTATACTGGCTATCTATAACTATATACAACAGATAGCGATTATAGTGATTACAATATCTTATAAATGATCTTAAAATGTGTGTCAGTACTTCAGTAGTCATTATGATTATCATCGTTGGTAATCTACAGTAGTATAATTTATAATACAATCACAAACTTTAGATTCTATAGAATAGCTAGGTAACAGGCGTGAGTACACTGTAATCATTTGGGTAATTTATTAGTTATTACATTTCCTATACATGTATAATATGTATAATATATTATATGTAGGGATACGGTATACATAAAGGCTATAATAATATATGCCACTGTTCTTATAAATATAAATTAGCGGTGTCAATTGTTTACTGTAAAATATGTCTGTTGATGCATTACCTACTGCAATTAAATATATTTAATATTTAATTACATGTGGGCCAGTAAACTCAGGACTAAAACCTGACTATTACTACAAGACTACAAACCACAACTAAATAAATATATGTATCTGTAACCCGTTGATCTACATATTGCAAGTTTTTCCCTAGATTTTTTTTCATTTTTATAACTGTTAGTTTACATTTACTGAATTTGTTTGATGTATTATAATAGACTACCATATTATACCATATAATTTTGTTGCAGATTGATTTGAAGATCCAATGTTGGATGTCTTTATCATGTACTCGGTAAGTACCTTCAATATATGATTATTATCATGCTAAAATCAGTACCTATATATATATTTTGAGTACATTACTGTTTGTGACTTACAAGTGAATTGAAATTTAATCCATATTCATAAATTAAAAAAATAACGAATTTTTATCAATTGTAAGGCCATTGAATTAAAAAATATTATTAAAATATACAACTTAAATACGATTTACAAATAAATTCTTAAATGTTATTTCTATTGTACACCCTAGGTGACAAATTGAAACGTTTAGTCTAATAAAATAATTGGACAATAATAAATTATAGGCACCTAAGGAATGATAGGTTTTATTATGTATGATCGAACAAATATAGCTGATTTTAATGGATAACTAATTTCGATTGTTCATTATTTTTTATACATTTTTTTGTACCTAATCATAGGTTTTTTATCATGCTATGTTTGTTATATTTTTTGTAGAGATTGACATTAATTCAATTTAGGTCGTATGAATATAAGAACATAAAATAACAATAGTTATATTTTATAATATTGTTAATAAATGGCAACTGCTCATACAAGCTGACTAATAGGTAATAAGCTAAATAACAAACGAAACTTGTTACATGTATACTCTACAACCAGTACAACTTGATAGATTTATGTAAAAAAAATATTGCACTGCCACGCAAAACGTTCGCGGGACAAAGAATTGTATAATATTCAATTATAAAGTTATATTTGTATTGATTTTTTTTAAATAACGAATAAAACTATACAACTGCCGCAGACCTTTAAAAAATATTGACGTATGTAGGTAGGTACTAAAATGCATTTTAATATTAAAGCAATTAATTTTAACTAAATTATGTATTTGTTTAGAAATTTAAGGTTTAAATCTTAAATACTCAATACTCTTGAAAAAAAAAACATTTTTTTTAGATATTTTAATTTAATTTAAGTAAATTTGAAGTTTACTGCATATTAAATACACCGTGATGAATATTTTATCGATAAATATAAAACATTTTTTGTCATGACATAGCTACTATATGTGTGCTATATTTGTTATCCATATTGTCCATTCAACACTGGTCTACCATTGTAGTGACTACCTATATTAATACATAAACTAAATGCATATACACGTATATAATATAAACCTGAGTTTTTTCCTTCCACGTACCAATTGTGATTTCGTTATTTACCGAGCACGTCAATTGGGATGCGAACGATAGTAAAATATTTATTACACATAGTAAACAGGAAGGTCTCCGTGGTCGTACATGTCCTGGGGAATGAACCATTGTTGGCCAGAAACGGGCAAGAGCAGAATTCATAATGAGAGTGAGACGCGCGGGTGTGTTGCCCTTTGAGAAATGCACCGTAGTTACATACAGCACAACCGATCTTGAAATACTTGCGGGGATTACGAAAGCCGTAATCCGTGTTATGCTGTGTAAAATTAACCATTTTGATGACAACGCGGTTATATTGGACTATATTGAAAATGAATTTCGTCCGAGATCTACATCTGATAATGGTATATATTATAATTTGTACGTATACCTATAGCTACCATTATCATACAATTTATTTTACGTACAAAGTAACGGAATTTTGATGATCTTATCCTAAACAATATTTATTACATCCGATTTCTCAATCAATTAAAAATAATTTCTGTGTTACTATAGCTAAAAACAGATATCTATACGAACACCTGTATTTAACCTACCTAACTCGATTTCAATAGTAGATAACGTATTATATATTTAGGCTATTATCTGTGAACACATAAATTAATACATTTTAAAATAAAAATGACCTGTTGCTCCTTCAAAACTATTACAGGCCCTTAATTTAATCGTTTACAATTTAAAATTTAACCAAATTAATAGTACGATGTTAGAATATTAATCGAATCAACAGATTTCCATAATATTATTGGACTTTATCCAAATGTATTTCAACATACCAGTTATGATTAATTTAGTACTGTTCGTGGAAAGAATTAACACCAAATTATATTATATTATAAAAATGTACAAGCTTCAAATCTCATAATCTGTTAAGAAATTCAATACAAACGTTATGGGATAAATCATTTGGTCTGATAACGTATTTATATTGTTTGTTAAAACCTTTTGAGCTGTATAATAAGTTATTTTGAAAACTAATAATATACTAGCAATAATATATAAATAAGTTGTTTTTTATTTTTAAATTATATACATAAATGTGGTATGTATATGTATTATAATTTATCAATTATTATTAACAAATAAGCCTACATTTTCAAATTATAAATTTTAAAAATTTAATCTAATAAGTCACATAGTATTATAATAATGTAACGAGATAACATGCCAAAAATGAGCAAATATTAAGTTATTTGGGTGCACTAAATACCTATGCAAAGCCTTGAAAATACAGTGGTATCGTAACATGATCTCCTTGGACATCTCATAAAATATAATACGTATATTGTATGGAACAACCAAGTTATTAATACTTTTTACTTTATTGGCGTTTGATTTTTTAGCACATACATGCAATACCACAATATTTTATAATTTGTCTAAATATTAAATATATAATTATTATATATTCTATTAACATGTACAACGATAAGGTGATTATTTTAAAGATAAATACTTTTTTAATTTGCTATGGAAATAATTTTTTCAGATAATTTTAACTTGTAAACCATTTTAAAACAGCTGCATATTACATATCAAAGATTTTATTTCACTTTTTTAAATTTTTAAATTTTTAAATTATATTTTAGTTGCCACCTTCATATAATACTTTTCAACTAATCTACTGCCAGAGTCATATTTAGATGGAGGGGGTTGATCCGGTGTATTATATCGAAAAAAATGACTTCATAGAAATAATTCTCTGAAGAATTGTCGTATTTTGATAACTATTTTTATCTGAAAGAGGAAGACTTCCCACAGCCTGCATTAAACCCCGATATTATTTAAAATAAAATGAAAAACGGAGTTCAATCCAGCCTGTAAATTATTACCCTTTATTAATTAAAAATTATAAAATTTGGTTGATTCTACAGAACAGGATCATTATTCCCGTATAAAAAGGAGTATTTTTTGCGGACAAAATTACATTTACACCGGACGCCTTAAAAATCGCCCTGCATGTATTTATAATATTTTATAATTATATATGTATATTGTATACTTGGGTAGAACTGTAGAAGTATAGTACCTTTATATGCTAAATGTGGTTTATATTTAATGAAATAACTTTCGTATTTATTTATTTCTTAAATGTATGTATTCCTTATTTTCTTCCTTAAATGTTGATAAAACTTGTTCTCCAAAATTTAACTTTTATTGGATCTCAAGTATATTATATATCTTGATAATAAACTAGTATAATATTTTTTGAGACTAGTTCTGAAATCGTCATATTATTATATTCTTGTATAATTCATGTTGATGACTTTCATTTTTTGTTCGATGAAATTATCTTCGTCATCTTTGACTAACATTTAATTAGTTAAACGTTTCCCTTGGAATACCTATTGCATAATATATTAAATACATATTTTATGTTACATATATTTTTCTTTTTAGTTCCATCCTACGCTATTTTTGTATCTTCTAACTTATAAGCAATAAATCATCAGCACATGCGTATTTGTGACAAAATTTAAAATTGTATGATTTGAATTACAATCTACCGTAGGCTTAAAGAAAGAGGAAGGAAAATAAATGTTTATATATAGGTAAATATATATATGTACTATAGTTGGCTGTATCTCGAGTGCTCATAAGTTGTATTTTATATACATTATAATACTCTACACAACGAATGTTTAATTAATTGACTTGATCCCGGACGACTGCCGCAATCGAAGTCTTTTATATAAACGCGAAACGCGTATATACCATTCGGGCACGACGATAAAATATATACTTGTACACAACTGAGTATCTATTGCATGTTTCCAGGTCTGATGCGTTTAGAAATAACAAAACATAGTACAGTAACATCTTTTCCATAATACATGATGCTATTTAACTGACAGATATCGCCATTCATACGGGGTGCCATTATCCATTACTCATTAGTATATAAATTACTAAAATGTGACCTTTTTATAATCTGCTAAAAACTTAATACTATACATTACTATATGGATTAGATAAATGCATAGTTTATTAAAATATTAAATTATTCAGCTACAAGTTACAACCCATGTACAGAAGCGACTAGCATAGTGACACCAAATCTAGATTTTTATTTTAATAGTTCTAAGTACATTTATTAACTGTTAAAAATAAATTATCAATAATAAATATGATAAATAAATAATGATGCATTTAATTTTAAAGCTATTATCTAGAACAACAATTATTTATTTTATTCTATTTATATTTTGTTTCGATCTGTTTTCAACTAATTTTAATTAATTGGTACTTAAGTAATCAGTAATCGTACATGACTAATTGATTGTGTTGTAGATTTATTTAGATACTTAACCGTAATAACCTAGCCTAGTAGGCTATACGTTTCTAATATACCAAGGGTGGCCAATCTGTGTCAATTTGATATTATTGAATACGGTTGAATGCCAATGGCGATTGATACTTGATGATTAGCATCATATCATTTATAGCATGTACTACCTACACATTTGAATTTTTTCCAACCAAATATTATTTATCATCTTACAAAAACCATTTTTAATTATTATAATCATTTGAAACTTCATTGTATTATTATATTCATCATTTTAGTTCATCGTGTCGGTCAGCAGTGTCATTTTATTAGTACTGTTGAAATTTAAATTAAACGTAGAAAACATTAATGATCTGAATATATGTTGAAAAATATATAATATACTTATTGTATAATTTTAAATAGTAAAAAAGTTTTGAATTTGAATGGAACGCATCTATTTTTATTTTATTTATTTAACATAATATATAAAACGGTAAGCCTGTGATCTCTGTGATCGACTAACACAACTAAGACCACTAATTGATAAAAACAAGCACT